CCTACACTACTGCACATCAACATATGTACCAACACATTACTCTGGGCAGGTGGCCAGCACTTCTTCTCAGCATAAGGTCTTGCATATTTAGAAAGATAGATAAACTGGGGTTGGGTTTGTTTTGGTTTTTTTTAAGCTAGAAAATCAGCACACATTTGTATTCTATGAAACTTCAAGGCGCACAGCTTGGCTGTTTTTGAAAATAAGATGAGGTAAAAATGTATCGTTCTATCAGGCTTCAAAATCTCAGCACTAAGCCATGCAGTTACACGTATCACAGCTGAGAACTTCACTCCTCATCTTCTCCTGAAGGTGTCCTGTTCTGGCTGACCTGGATGTCATTGGAATCGCTAAACAATACGCACAGTTGGACCTTCCAGCATTTGCTTTGGGCTGCCTGCTACTGATTCCTCATTCTGAGAGGCGAGAGCAGCAAATTCAGGTAAACAACAACTTTTGCGTTCCATCTGGGCCAGGGAAATGTCTCTGTTGAACGTAACGTGCTCAGAGACTGTGAAAGACGGTAACTTAATTCCAGCTTATTTCAATACATCACTGCTGACAGCTGCTCAGCATATCCTACCCGCAAAGGCAATTGTGCGTTCCAGGGAAATGTCTCTGTTGAACATAACGTGCTCAGAGACTGTGAAAGATGGTAACTTTTAATTCCAGCTTATTTCAATACATCACTGCTGACAGCTGCTCAGCATATCCTACCCGCAAAGGCAATTGCCTTGAATTTGTCCTTCTGAAAGGGATCATCTGAACACCTCCTCTTTTTATTCTTTAAATCAAACCAGAGAGCTTCAAGTCAACCCCAGCAGCTTTGCCATACAACTTTGCCTTTTGTGGATTTGAGGGTATTTTGTGGGATCCCACCCACAAAACCCATGGGGAAAAAAAAAGCCAAAAAAATCCCCCAAAAAAACCCAACAAAACCAAACCCAAGTGGTAGCCATGTAATTGCTGGAGCAGTGTAAAGTCAGTGGTAACATACATCATCGCTGAGGAGCTACCAGCGGGCTAGTTTCACAGCAGATGTAAGCAAAGTACCAAATCCTACTTCAGGAAAGTGTTGAGTGAAAGCCCCTGAATTCTTAGAAAGGTGCTTGATGTGCACCACAAGTTCTGATGCAAACTTTTTGCCTTAAAGCCATAAGGTTTCCATAAGCCATCCTCGCTATTCAGGTATTGACCACTTCCTTTCTCTTCTCATTTGTCCCCATTAACTTATGCTCTGCATTGTTGTCCCAGATGAAGCATTATAGCCTGTTCCCATATTTGTCATGAACAAACTGGCACTAGTAAATACATCTTAAATTCTTAAGCTTTCAGTCATTAACATTAAGCTCAGAGAGATTTTCCCAAATTACAGCATTAGTATAAGACATTTAGTCTGCTGGCAATGGGTAAAAAAAAAATAAATCTAACAGCTACAGCAAAATAGAGTTGGGAGTTAAAAACAGCAAGTACTACTCTTTCGGACAAACTGCACAGATCTTGGTTTGGTAATTTCATGTTTTTACCTAGAATTTCAAAATATTAATTGTTCCTGAATAAATCAAATACTTGCTCTGAAAGATGAGTTTCTACTTGAGTAAGTCACAGAATATTAATGCTTTAACTTATTTTTGGAAGGGTTTCTTATCAACATGTAACACAGAAACTGTGCTGGAACAAATTGATGAGCACATGAACACTGGAGAAGTAGTGGCGTTTGCTTCTCAGGTAATTGAATAAAATTTACTCCTTATAGGCAGCCCCTATTTGTAGGACAGCATTGTTTGCAGCAGCACTACTTGATTTTTCTAAATACTTATTTTAACCAAAAAGGCCAAAGGCCTTAAGAAACTGCAGTCTCTCTTGCCTTGGGCTGCCTTCCTAAGGGCAAGTTTCTCAATTCATTCCCCTGGGTGAATCTGAGACTGGTCTTCATAAAATCTACCATTTCACAGCACTAAAAGTATAATAAAATAATCCTGCTCTATGGGAGTCCAATAAGAAAAGTCTGAGCTCTTTTGAGTCAACGGTAAAATTTCTTATGTTTAAAATGTTAATACTTTTCCATGACTGAACTTACACCTACAGATCAGAAATTTGGTTTTGGACAATATCATAAATAAGAAGCTGTATGAAAAATTCTTGAAAACTAAGCATTTTCCACTGGTGAAGCAACAACTGATGAATACTCACAGAATAAAAGAACTTGTGGATTATTTTGTCAAAAAGAACTGGTAAGTTAGCAAGAGGTAAAACAGGTGCTGCATTACTGATAGCAATTACAGGAACTGAATCTCTATTTTCATTTGTTTAAAGTTGCAGAGATTTTTCTAGTACATAATCCTCAAGAGTTTTAAATGTATTTTTAAGTTTAATAACTGAATAAATCAATCTTACTTCACTACTTTGCATACTTAGGAGAGAGTTTTATGCTTAGTGAGCCTGGACTTGCAAGCAGATCAAATGCAGCAAAAATATCAAAAGGAACCTGACCGAAAAGCAAACGCTATTTACCACTTCCTTACCTTCAGCTGAATTCTGCTCAGTGGCATCCTGGAGTCACAGCTTCAGCAATAAGAACACTCTGAAAGAAATAAGTGAACTGCCTGCACTCCAGACTCAGCAATGAGTAGTTTTGCTGCTAAGGTTTGCAGGAGTTAGAAATTGTTGTGTTCCACTTAAATAAACCAAAATGAGGCAGTTCTCAATCAGCAATTAATGATTCAGCACTTGGCTCTTTGGGCACAGCTGCAAACATTCAGTCAGATCCCAGATACTCAGCATTGGCAGTCACTTTGTTACCAGTTCTCCTGCAGTCAAAACAGGACAGGAACCCACATATAACTGTTTAAATTCTAGTATCTATTGGCTTTATTAACAACCTCAGGTTAAATGCTAGGTTTGTCATGGCCTTTATCTCCTGGGAAATGATAGGACCTACTGACTTAAAAAATGTGGGGTCATACCTTATCATTATACTTCAGTGTATGCAAGTCTAAATTCTTGGCTTTTAGAGCACTTGTTCACAGAGTTGATAACCTTTTGCCTCCTGCAGCACTGATGATGCAACAGCCCTAATTCAAGAATATCAGGAGAAGTGTGGAAATCCTACTCTAGCAGACATACCATCATCTGATCTTCTGAAGGTAGGACAAACCACTTCTGCACCTCATGCAGGATTCTCTCCTTTTTTTCCTAGACTAAGACTTTCATTCAACGTTTAGCAAATATACTTGTTAACCAATTTATTACATACATTGTGTATAATAAAATATCCTTTTATTAATTCCAATAATTCATTTTGGAACCAAATGGGTGCCATGCTAAGCCTTATGCTTTCAAGTACTTTCACAGGTCTTAAACGATATCCCATTTTCCTCAGCCCTATTAATATTGTCCTTTTACCTTCCAGATGTATCTGAGTGAAACGGAGGAGACCCATGTACTAGAACTGTCATCGAGAAGGTCTTGATTTACCCTTTTCTTTTCTCCCTCTACTGCCAAGATGATGGCCGAGCATTGAGAACACTCAGACTGGTCAGGTGAACGTTAAACTAAAACCTCAATGCTCTTTGATCAAAAGCTACCCTGAGCTTGCCACATTTTTTTACTTCTAGGCTGTTTCTTCTCCATCCTTTATCCCCACTGAAACAGCTTAGATTTACAGCAGAATTTGCTGTTTCTATTCAGCAGTAATGTTCATAATCAGCACTTTGATTTTTAGGAACGAATAAAGTTTACTTCCTTTACTTCTATATTTTTCTATGTTTAAGTCTGCTGACGATCACTCTAAGACTTTATTTGCACAAACATAACCTTGCATCATTGTGAGATTGTGATAAACCTTTTCTAAAACAGTAAGTGATGTACTTAATGTAAAATAAACTTTGTAAGCAAATTGTAATTATAACCACAGTGAGCAAAATAAACAGGCCTACATACCAATTTTGGTCATACAGTATTCTATAAACCTTTTTTTTATTATGAAACTGTCAGTAAATTGATGTTGCACTTAGTCACTGACCTTCCTTGAATAACGTGTGCCAGGGTTTTCTTTTTGACTGTTTCTTCTGTATGGCTGCAGCAGGATAAAGCAACGGGGATGTGTGTCACAGCAAGAAATAGCAGCTAGCCAAAGGTTCCTGAGATACCAGGCCAAAATGCTCGGTCTTTTTCTAAGGTAAAGCAAGTTTGTTTTGACCTGAAATAAGTTATTTAGTAAGTAAGGGTTCTAGCTGATCTCTTAAGTTCTATGCAAAAACCACGAGTTTAACTCAAACTTTCATGACAAATACGACACTGCTTTTTGCACAGCTACTGCACTGGAAAAAGTTGTAATACAAAGGCCAAAAAGGGAACCAGCCACCATCCTAAATATTCTTCTGTAGGAGACAAAACTTATTTTTATTGGAAAGTTGGCAGTCATGAGAGGCGGGAGCTGTTAAAATACAGTCAGTTCCCTGCAGTCATAAGGAGAGGTAAAACATCCAGGCTTTCTGAATAACCAGTGTTTTAGTCTTCAGTAGTCATACAAGTGTCACATGGAATTACATGATTCAAAACCTCTGTGCCTGGAGCAAAGTGCATACACATGTAGTGTCAGATAGAAGCCATAAATAACAGAAAGCCCCTCTTCACTGTTTAGAGATTTAATGAGGCCATCATCCATTAAAACACAGTGGTATTTTGAAACTGCTTTGATTAGAAAAAGACTGAAGTTAAACTTTCTACAGTGAAAGTACCACTGTAATTTAGGAGTTAATTGTATTTTCGGAATCTGTCAATCCATTTTAATTTTTTTTACTGAACTGGGAATGTTAAACTGAAAATTAAATATAAACTGGATTCTGAAGCAAACAGCATGGTCCCAGCACCCTCAATCTTTGTTCAAGCCCTGCACAAGGATCCTTTAGCCATCAGTCACCAAACCAGGGGAGCAAGCGTTTGAAAAGCAACCACAACTGTTGCATTTTTCCCCAACAACAGTTCATGAAGCTTAGTTTTTCTATGAAGTGGAGTTTATTACAACATTAAGGAACAGTATTTAAACAGTTATTTTAATGGAATATTTTACAAATCAATTCATACAGAGAAAAGCAAACACAAAGTTGTTTTGTTACCAAGAAGCTACATTGTTAAGCTGTTAGTGAGCAAGTGTAGGACTGTAAACTAGCAATCAAGTATTGTAGTAACTTACATTTCAGAATGAGATGGTAAAAATACCAGACAAGCAAGAACATTTTTAAGACTTTTTGTACTCAATTCTTTCTACTTTCACATCATCTCCAATTAGTTGATAGACATATGTAACTACTGTAGAAGCCTGGATGTCCATCAGCACAAAGGAAGGAATGATGTTGCTGGGAAAAGAGGAAAAAATTCATATTAATTATACACAGATAATCACCTTAAGATTGTGTTTCACCAGAAGTAACAAAAATTAATTTAAGAAAAATGGTTTTTTTTATCTTGTAAAGCTTCATCTGTGATGTACTGTGCTTAAGTATTTCATTCTCATCTGTCTCAGTCAGGGACATTTAGCAAATACCATCGACCCTTCCTCTCCCCGACATTAACCTTCATAACGACCTTTGTACTTCAGTTTTGTTATCAAAAAGAAACCTCCCACAGGTATTTCCCACACTCCACTTACTTCTCTAAGGCATGATACGCTCCTGTGGCTGATCCTGGATTGATATAGAACTTGTTTTCATGTTCAAATGCCTCAAATTTGTGTGTATGTCCTGAAATTAGGATGTCCACATCAAACTGCCTCTGTAGCAGTGCCAGGCTGGCCATGTCACCCCAAGGAATAACCTGATGGCCATGAATCAGCCCGATTTTGAACTGTCCGACAGTTACAACTTTCTGCTCAGGATAATTCAGGTTCTAAAAAAAACAAAACCCAAACAGATTAGAGGTACCGACTGAGATTTAAAAACCCCTATGCAACACCAAGAAGAGATGGGGAAAGCTTACAGAAATATTCAATATAATTGTCCCTACTGCTGCAAAATGAGAGCTACAAAGTTGCTTTTACGAACACTGTGGAGAATGGG